TAACATATACCCAAACACACACGCTACTAACACATACACAAACACACACACTACTAACACACACCAAACACACAATAACAACAACAACAACAAAACAAACAAATACACACGCTACTACAACACACACCCAAACACACACACTACTAACACATACCTAAACACACACACACACACTACTAACACACACCCAAACACACACAAGCTACTAACACACACCCAAACACACAAGCTACTAACACACACCCAATCACATACGCTACTAACACACACCCAAACACACACACACTGCTAACACATACCGAAACACACACTACTAACACATACACAAACAAACACGCTAATAACACACACCCAAACACACACACTACTAACACATACCCAAACACACACGCTACTAACACAGACCCAAACACACACGCTACTAACACACACCCAAACACACACACTACTAACACATACACAAACACACACACTACTAACACACACACAAACACACACACTACTAACACACATCCAAACACACACACTACTAACACACACCCAAACACACACGCTACTGACACACACCAAAACACACAAGCTCCTAACACACACCAAAACATACACACACTACTAACACATACACAAACACACACAAGCTACTAACACATACCCAAACACACACGCTACTAACACATACACAAACACACACACACTACTAACACACACCCAAACACACACGCTACTAACACAGACCCAAACACACACGCTACTAACACACACCCAAACACACACACTACTAACACATACACAAACACACACACTACTAACACACACGCTACTGACACACACCAAAACACACAAGCTCCTAACACACACCAAAACATACACACACTACTAACACATACACAAACACACACAAGCTACTAACACATACCCAAACACACACGCTACTAACACATACACAAACACACACACACTACTAACACACACCCAAACACACACGCTACTAACACAGACCCAAACACACACGCTACTAACACACACCCAAACACACACACTACTAACACATACACAAACACACACACTACTAACACACACACAAACACACACACTACTAACACACATCCAAACACACACACTACTAACACACACCCAAACACACACGCTACTGACACACACCCAAACACACAAGCTCCTAACACACACCAAAACATACACACACTACTAACACATACACAAACACACACAAGCTACTAACACATACCCAAACACACACGCTACTAACACATACACAAACACACACACTACTAACACACACCCAAACACACACAAGCTACTAACACACACCCAAACACACACGCTACTAACACATACCCATACACACACACTACTAACACACACCCAAACACACACAAGCTACTAACACACACCCAAACACACACACTACTAACACATACCCAAACACAACAACAACAAAACAAACAAACACACACGCTACTACAACACACAACCAAACACACACACTACTAACACATACCTAAACACACACACACACTACTAACACACACCCAAACACACAAGCTACTAACACATCCCCAAACACACAAGCTACTAACACATACCCATACACACACGCTACTAACACATACCCATACACACACACACTACTAACACACACCCAAACACACACAAGCTACTAACACACACCCAAACACACACAAGCTACTAACACACACCCAAACACACACAAGCTACTAACACACACCCAAACACACACAAGCTACTAACACATACCCATACACACACACTACTAACACACACCCAAACACACACAAGCTACTAACACACACCCAAACACACACAAGCTACTAACACATACCCATACACACACACTACTAACACACACCCAAACACACACAAGCTACTAACACACACCCAAACACACACGCTACTAACACACACCCAAACACACACGCTACTAACACACACCCAAACACACACACACTACTAACACATACCCAAACACACACTACTAACACATACCCAAACACACACGCTACTAACACACACCCAAACACACACGCTACTAACACATACCCATACACACACACTACTAACACACACCCAAACACACACTACTAACACATACCCAAACACACACGCTACTGACACACACCCAAACACACAAGCTCCTAACACACACCCAAACACACACACACACACACTACTAACACATACACAAACACACACGAGCTACTAACACATACCCAAACACACACACTACTAACACACACCCAAACACACACACTACTAACACATACCCAAACACACACGCTACTAACACATACCCATACACACACACACACACTACTAACACACACACCCAAACACAACAACAACAACAAAACAAACAAACACATGCTACTACAACACACACGCAAACACACACACTACTAACACATACCTAACACACACACACTACTAACACACACCCAAACACACAAGCTACTAACACATCCCCAAACACACAAGCTACTAACACACACCCAAACACACACGCTACTAACACATACCCATACACACACACTACTAACACACACCCAAACACACACAAGCTACTAACACGCACCCAAACACACAAGCTACTAACACACACCCAAACAAACACGCTACTAACACACACCCAAACACACACACACACTACTAATACATACCCAAACACACACTACTAACACATACACAAACACACTACTAACACATACACAAACACACACACACTACTAACACATACCCAAACACACACTACTAACACATACACAAACACACTACTAACACATACACAAACACACACGCTACTAACACACACCCAAACACACACGCTACTAACACATACACAAACACACACTACTAACACATACACAAACACACTACTAACACATACACAAACACACACACACTACTAACACATACCCAAACACACACTACTAACACATACACAAACACACTACTAACACATACACAAACACACACGCTACTAACACACACCCAAACACACACGCTACTAACACATACACAAACACACACTACTAACACATACACAAACACACACGCTACTAACACACACCCAAACACACACGCTACTAACACATACACAAACACACACTACTAACACATACACAAACACACACACTACTAACACATACACAAACACACATACTACTAACACAAACACACTACTAACACATACCCAAACACACACACTACTAACACATACACAAACACACACACTACTAACACATACCCAAACACACACACTACTAACACACACCCAAACACACACGCTACTAACACACACCCAAACACACACACACACTACTAACACATACCCAAACACACACACTACTAACACATACACAAACACACACGCTACTAACACACACCCAAACACACACACTACTAACACACACCCAAACACACACGCTACTAACACACACCCAAACACACACACTACTAACACATACCCATACACACACACACTACTAACACACCCAAACACACACACTACTAACACATACCCATACACACACAGGCAGATTCTCGACTGCGGTGGGTTGGAGGCCGTGGGCCAGCTGACAGAATATAACAGATTAACAAAGAGACGTGATTCAAAATGTATGTCCGTGTGTGCGCATTCACGTACGCGTGTGTGGAGGCTCGTCAAGGAGGCAGTAACCAGTCAAACCAATAGTGGAGTACTGAGGAGCGACGCTCACAACAACGAGCGCAGGGTGATTAAAATACAGCAAGATGGCACAGTAGGGGGCACAGGTGGTGCATCTGCCAGTCATCTTGGTCAGTCAACCCACGGCACATGAGTCTGTCCCCGAAGACCTCCTGTCAGTGAGAATTGGACACTTCACGTGGGCCTCGGAGTACACCTAGCCTGGCACTAGCGTTATAGTGACATCCCCACAACTTAGTGGTGAACGGCGGTTTTTGTTGTTGTTGTTGTTGGGGAGCGGTGGTGGAGTGGTTAGCACACACTGCGCTACGAACCCGGCGACCAGAGTTCGATTCACGACCACGACGGATAACAAGTGGCGAGTGATAACTGAACCGGTCCTGGGTCTCACTTCGGTCGGCTCAACTTTAAATGAGTACCTGGTGCGATGCATAAATAACGACCCCGGGGAGACAAAGGCGGAAGAGGCGTGGTGCATCCCAACGTGCGATGTGCTGGCCTAAGTAGGTGCTCACGAACAGCATTTGCCCCGGCGGTCGATGTAGGCTGCACGAGGAATATTTGTCTTCATGTGTTTGCGTGATGATTAGGGTTAGGGTTAGACATTAATGTCTGCTCTTGGGTTTCATATTGTAAGCACGTGTGGACGTAGTCGAAAAGAAAAACCGATTAAAAAAATATGTGGTGTATGTGTTTTATGAATTGCATGCCATGAGGTAGGGCCATTGCTTAAAACGTTACCTATTATATATTTTTGTTTCTCTTTAGACCGAATGTTTTGAGTTTTTTGTCAATACAAATCAATGTAAAGTTATAAGAAAATAACATTTTATTATTTGGGGTTTAGGATTGTTTTGTTGTTGTCTTTGCTGCCTTCCCCAAGCTTGATAAATCATACTTATAACATTCATTACGTTATTATTCATTTATATTTTGTGACTTGTTGACCATTTTCCCGATTTTGCACTCGGAGCGTTGCTGTATCATTTGCTGTTGTAACCTGCAGACCCCAGCCCATACTCTGGACATCTGTGAAAAAGAGCTTCACAGCTCATCAGATTCCTCCAGATTCTGATGATGATTCTGATATTAAGTCAATGTTAAATTTAAAAAAAAACCCGCGAACATCGGTGCTCGTCGCTCCCTGCCGCCACCGGCTACGTTTGCGGTGCCGCTATTTTGTCCACCACTGACAGAACGGCGGAGGGTCTGGGTCCTAGGGGGCTGGCGGTGGGGGCGGCGGAGGCGGCGGCGGCGGCGGGGGCGGACAACGCACTTGTATGAGAGGCGGAAGAGCCCCGCGAGGACGAAGCCCAGCGTGTATCCGAGCAGGGGCATGAGCAGCCCTATGGAGATGAGCGTGGGAGAGAACACGCGCCAGATGGCGGAGCCCACGTACAGCGCCGACAGGACCACCAACGCGACGGAGATGAGCAGCAGGAGCAGCATCCCGCCCTGGCGCACGGCGAGAGAGAAAGACCGTTCGAGGGGTTGAGTTGTTGCGCCACGGGGAGGCACCGTGCTCGCTCCTCCAGTGACGGTGATCCGTCGTGGGCTCGAACCACGCAGGACGGACGCGCCTCGCTGCCGCCCTGATGAAAATTGGCCCCGTCCGTCAAAAGCGTTTGCCCAGCCAAGTCGGAGGCACAAAATAGAGGCTGACACGAGATATTTGCTGGCCGAAAGAACATCCGATTGCCCCGTGTGTATATATATATACACACGCCGACGTGTGGAATACAGCAGAAGCTTGATACAAGCACACCTCTTATAAGCACACCATTACATTTCACTCGTGGGGGCTGGGAGACACAAATTTAACTATCTGATAGAATCACACTGTGAGCATAAGTCCACATGGCCTTGCTCCCAAACGGTTTTGTTAGGTTTGCTTTTTACACGTGGTTATAATTGATAGTAATTTATTGAATTGAGCGAGATTGCAGGAACTCGGTAATGTATGTGTACGTACGTTGAACTTCTTTCGCACCGTACATAGCCAACCGTGCTACATCGGAGGTGCGGGAAAAGGACAACAATCTAAAGACAAAGAGCAGTTCTCAAGAAATTAGTTCTTGATTCAGATTTAAAAGGGCACAGCTCCAGTGGCTTGCTAATATCTGAAGGAAGAGCTTTCCAGACGGCCCGCAGAAGCGCGTCTGAGACGATGCGAGGCAAAGTGGAGCAGTGCAGGGGGAAGACGCAGACGGAGAAGCGTTGTGACCTGCAGTGCCCTGGTGGTGGTGGTGGGACTCAGTGTGGTCGTGGTGGTGGCACTCATTGTGGTGGTGGTGGCACTCAGTGTGGTCGTGGTGGTGGCACTCAGTGTGGTGGTGGTGGCACTCAGTGTGGTGGTGGTGATGATGGGACTCAGTGTGGTCGTGGTGGTGGCACTCAGTGAGGTGGTGGTGGCACTCAATGTGGTGGTGGCACTCAGTGTGGTGGTGGGACTCAGTGTGGTCGTGGTGGTGGGACTCATTGTGGTGGTGGTGGCACTCAGTGTGGTGGTGGGACTCATTGTGGTGGTGGTGGCACTCAGTGTGGTGGTCGTGGTGGTGGCAGTCAGTGTGGTGGTGGTGGCACTCAGTGTGGTGGTGGTGGTGGCACTCGTTGTGGTGGTGGTGATGGTGGGACTCAGTGTGGTGATGGTGGGACTCAGTGTGGTGGTGGTGGCACTCAGTGTGGTGGTGGCACTCAGTGTGGTGGTGGTGGTGGGACTCATTGTGGTGGTGGTGGCACTCAGTGTGGTGGTGGTGATGGTGGGACTCAGTGTGGTGGTGGTGGCACTCAGTGTGGTGGTGGCACTCAGTGTGGTGGTGGTGGGACTCATTGTGGTGGTGGTGGTGGTGGCACTCAGTGTGATGGTGGTGGTGGTGATGGTGGGACTCAGTGTGGTGGTGGTGGTGTATGAGGCGAAACAGTCATCCTGCCAGACCGAGTCCTCAACAGCGGTGGAGATGCCAACGAGGAGAGTTCACGGCAACAGTAACCGTGGTATTGGCGATCAGAAGGGGGGGACAGGGTGTGCTTATAACCAGCTTCTACTCTACGAGCACACGTGCATCGCGCTGATGGTGCGGCGTACGTGGGGCATAATTTCTAGCTCGATTTTTTTTTTTTACCAAATCGAAGCTAGGCTACCTTGGAGTGGGGGTTGTCGGGCATAAGGCACTACCACTAGAGTGCAAGTTACACCAATCCACAATGACCATCTGCTGTCGTGCCCTGTATCCCTGTAATCCTGTGAGGACAAAATAAGTGCCCGTGAGACCAAAAAATAAGGCGAGAGGGGCGCGAAACAATTCCGGAGCAGCCTTCCGGACTGCACCGGCTGAAGTCGCGCCACATGGCGCCCCGTGCTCACCCGCAGGATCACGCGCGAGTACTTGGGGAACTTGGCGTTGATGAAGATTCCCACGGTGCAGGGCAAGAGGATGAGAGCCAGGGCGATGGAGATCTTCGCGTAGGGAATGACGAAGCGCGTGTCCGACAGGCCGTGGCTGTACGCCCACAGCAGCAGCGGCATCATGCCCAGCGCCAGCACGGTGGAGCACGTGGTCATGAGGATGCTGCACACGGAAACAGTACAAGGGCAATGTGGGGCGCAACAGACGCCCGTTGCTGATTTGTTCGTAAAATCCTCAGCGAGTAATACCACGGCGTAGCGTTTTTGCCGTTGTGCCGTACAGAAGGTCTCCGATATGTTTCCGGGTCGTGCCACGTGCTTTTCGGCACGGCGTCCGACGTTTCGGTCCATATGCCTCCGGTTCGTTTTTCCGGTCAGACCGTGTGTTGTTTGGCACGGTTGTCTGACGGTTTGCTCCACGTGCTGGGACCTTGTTCAGGAATTGCTGAAGATACAGCACAACTGGTAAAACCTACTCAGCGGTAAAAACAACAAAAAAGCATTTGACAGCATAGTGATGATTATGGATTATTTATTGCCGAAAGGCTCCATGAGTCACCAAGTTGTGTTTCAGAAATCCTGCACTGCATGTTGGGCCAATTCCATTGAAGGTGGTTGTGTGTGTGGGAAGCATTGGTGAGTGCTTAGTGCCCTGTGCCCTGAACCTGACGACCCGAGTTCAATTCCCCCTCAAGGTCCACATGCACCAGTGACGAATATCTGAACCGGTGATGGCCACCCACCACCTCGTGTGCGCCGCGCCGGCCTTCGTACGTGCGAAGATCGCGAGAAGAAAACCCCCCCACAATGCATGGGATGCACGAACACTCACAGGTCCACATCGGTGGGTTCACAAACCCGTTAGCTGTACGGCCATCTCCTGGCTACCACATGGACCAGCCGGCTTGGGGATCTCACAAGTGTGCACGGTCCACCAACCCTTTGTCTCCACGCACACGTTTGCAAGTATACGCCGAAAGCTAAAATCTGAGATCAAACGAATGCATTGATCCGATATTTTGGGGAATCTCAACGCATGCACGCACACGCAGCCGAATGATGATAATGTCGACGATGCTGTGATGAGTTACGTGACGATCAACAAATCGTGAGATGAGTTTAAATTAAAACTCATATTCATTCGAAGCCTTCATCTGAGATTTATTGAAACGTTTCAAAGTGCCTAAATGTGACTCGTCTCAAGACGCCGTGGGGGTGATGCAGAGGGAAAACAAAAGCAGGGAGAAGGAGGCAATAAAAAAAAGTGATCATTGTCAGGCCGTCGCTTTCAAGGGGTCACCGATTGGTTTGTTCTCGCCAACGGGCACGGTTTTTTTAAGGCAATAAACCGCAGAGAGTTGGAGTCAGCCCCGTGGCCTGCGAGTTCACCCCCCGTGCCGATGTCGCCTCACGAGCTGCAGTGACCTGAAGCTCGCGGACGCCTCCGACAATGGATCCCCGACACAACGCGAGCGCTCGCGGCGAGACGGGGATGGACCTGAGGTTCATGTCTCCGTCGAGCGCCAGCGCGAACACGTTGGAGAGGTTCCCTCCGGGACAGCAGCCGCAGATGAGGACGGTGACGGCCTCCACGGGATTCAGGCGGAAGACCTTGGCCAAGGCGAAGGCGGTGAGCGGCATGATGCCGAACTGCGCCAGCACGGCGATGAAAATGCCCCGGGGCTTCCTGAGGTGTGCGCCGATGTGCTCGAGCTCCATGGTGCAGCCCAGCGACACCATGGTGACCACGAGGACCGCCGTGGTGACGGCGTTGACGGCCTCGTCGAGGATCGCGCCGTGGCCGCCCGTCGCGTTGCCCGCGCTGCCGTTGAGCCCGAAGGGTGGCGACTCCCAGGAGGAGTTTAGGGCCATGGTGGTGAGAGCGAGGGTGGGAGATCGAGAGAGCGAGGGCGAGTTAGAGAGAGAGATAGAGAGTGAGGGTGAGAGATAGAGAGTGAGGGTGGGAGATAGAGAGAGCGAGTTAGAGAGAGGGTGAGAGATAGAGAGTGAGGGTGGGAGATAGAGAGAGCGAGGGTGAGTTAGAGAGAGGGTGAGAGATAGAGAGTGAGGGTGAGAGCGAGGGTGGGAGATAGAGAGAGGGTGAGAGATAGAGAGTTAGGGTGAGAGATAGAGCGTGAGATAGAGAGAGGGTGAGAGATAGAGAGAGAGAGAGATGGATGTTGTGGTGGAGAGGATGGAGTCGGGCCCTCTCTCCCCCCCTCTCTCACCAACTGGCAGCAGGCATGGCACACGATACCTGTCAGGTGACATGTTCATTGCGTTAAAAAAATTATCAAACGAATCCCCCAGTGGTATCCAAATTCTAATGAGTAATGATTGTTTTGAGTGGTTCCACGTGCTAACCGTTGCGATCACACAAATTATTAAATGATTTTTTCTCTCTCTCGCTATTTGATGACCCGGCAGAGGAATTCCGTGCGGAGCTCTCGAAGTGCAGCACAACCCACAGAAAGCGGATATTACAGAGCTACCGCCGAAATTCCGTTCAAGTGCCCCCCTGAGCCACAAATATATTTAAATTCATATGCGGTACGTACAATCAACGACGTTTCTTGTTGTAGCGAATTCTCGTAGGCGCTCGCCCCAAATAGTCTGTTAAGGGCATACGGGGGAACTTTCTCCTTGTGTGCGTGTGCTGCTGTGTAACACGCAGGCTGTCGCGAACAATACGATCCAGAATAGAGGTTTTTTGGGTTAGATCGCATACATATATAAATGTTTATGTAAATATAGTTGTTTTGATTTAAAGCTTTCGTGACTGCAGGGATTCATATTCTTGGCTCTTTCGGTAAAGTCACGTAGAAGGGAAACAATAAAAGAATAAAAATATAAAACAATAAAATTATCACGACGTTTCGACTGCAACACAAGCAATCATCATCAGGTGTGAAAACCACAGCTGAAACGTCGTGAGAATTTTATTGTTTTATATTTTTATCATTGTATTGTTTCCCTTCTACGTGACTTTACCGAAAGATCCAATAATATAATATAGTTGTTGTTTTTTTTCAATTATATTTAGAAATGTTATAGAAAATATATGTATATATTTACGCGATCTAAAAAAAACCCTCTTATGTGCTGCTATTGTTGGCTATACAGCAGACACCCCCCCCACCACCCCCCCGGCTTCTACTGCAGAGAGAGAGAGCGAAGCTGCTGCCTTTCTGCGTGTCCGTGCAGTGGCCAAGATCCCCGTGAGTCCAAGCGAGAAGGCCCAAAGCAGCCACCGCCACCACCATGGCCTCGGCCGTGCGACAATCAAAAGAAATTCCAAAGTCTCTGGCGTCTTTGTCAGGAGCGACTCAGGGTCACGATGCAAGGTCGATTCTTCGGGGTTGTTTTTTGTGCTTGCATGGCGGTGATTGTGAGCGGGCTTTGCTGGCTAAGGCGATTGCCTAAGGATAGTTTTGTTTATTGAGGGGGTGTGACTTTTAACAAAGATTGGGATTTTAATCAAGGAGCATTTTGATTTAGATTTTAAATTGTGATGAACGCAGCGGCACTCTAGTGGCCGCAGGGTCAGAGTGTCCTCAAGTTCTCAGGAGGTTACGAGCCCCGTGGTGCGAGTGGTGAGTGCACTGCGCTCTGGAACCCTGGTCCGTGAGTTCGATTCCTTGTCACGGCTAACGTCGGTGGCGAGCGCTATCCGAACCGGTCCTGAGCGCAATCACTTCACACTCGCGCCCTGACGAGCGGTGGTGAAGTGTGGTCCAATAACTCCGAAGAGTGACACAGTATGGAGGCGGCCTTCGTGCCAAGGGTTGCTTTGGCAAAGGGGTGTAATGCCATTCTTGGGATGGTAAATCTCGTTTCGAATGAAACCCGCAACGGGGATGCGTTTACGACTTGACATACATTTGGACGACCTCTGAACCGTATCATAAACAGCTTGGAAGTGAAGGCGCGCGCAAGGGAGGGATCGGGAGAGGCGGAGGCAAGTTCCGCGGGATCAATCAACGAGAGACAATTACCAGACAGCTCACTGCCAACAGGTCGTAAAACTGCTGGCTGTCTTCAGAAAGGATGGAGGGGGGGCGAAGGGGGGACACACGATCCATCAGGCCACCACCGCCCCCTGTCCCCTTCGCTGATCGCAAGTGATGAAGCGTCTGTCCGTCGCGATGCAATGAGGGCAAGAGAAGAAAGGGGACGCGCCTCCATAACACGTGTTATCGTTCCGTAGGTGGCCGGCCGGGTGGCTCAGAGGTCAGGCCACTAAGAAGAACCTGGGTTCGAGTCCAGGCAGCTGCTGCCTGCGATTACTAAGCCTGGTTCCCAAGCGTAGTCGTCCATGAGCCAGAGCAGAAATTGATCAAAATAAACTTTAGTTGTGCCGCATTATTTGTATGGCCAATTAAAGTTTAATTACCTGATTACCCACTCGTTTCAAAAAGTTCCCGCATAATGCACGACTGTTGTTATGCTTAGGTGGAATTGACACGTGAAGCGTCTGGTCTGGGCGCATGGACTACAGCGAGTTGATGATCTAAAGGCAGGTAACCAGTGGCTGCACGAGAGAGCCATCTGATGAAATTTCGGTTCGTACTTAATATGCCTAAATTCCATCAGTGACAATGAATGAAATATATTTCCCAACACAGCATTCTCTCGTTATTCACGAACTTACTATCCGCAATTTTGGGTATCCACGAATCGTATCTGGAACTCTATACGAGTGCATCGAGAGAAAGAGAAAGAAAGCGATGAGATGAAGGTAAGTTCACTTACAAACTTATTTAATACTTTAATATTATTATTTATATTTTCTTTACGTTTAATAAAAAATATGATAATTTCCACGTATTTAATAGCGTATTTACATATTTATTTATTTAACGTAATTCATTACGATAATGATACCCCGTAGGCCAATACCATTCTCCGAGAAATTTGATATTCACGAGCCCCTCCGGAACGTATCCCTCGCGAATAATTGGTTTTGGTTGTCATGCGATGGAAATAACTCTCAGCGGTAGGAGGGGCCGGGGAGTGGCGATCTCGTCTGCGTCCATCGGAGGTCACTCGAAGCGATGGGAGTAGAGTGTGGGTTCTTACTACCTAACTCTTCCCAAGAAAGTCTAGCCGGCGTGGAAGTGCGGGCCAAGGTGTGTGACCATACCTCGCCACGCTGGTCAGTTAGGGTTTATGAAGGCTTGGGAGCATAGATATATGTGGTAGCGTAGAAGTGCATTACAAGAAACATATTTTTCTGCTGCATTGCTTCCATTGATGGCCAGCGTGGGAATGGGTAACGGAGAGAATACATTTCCCATTTCACCTGATTATATAATCACAGCAACGACGACTTCATATCGTCTGTGAACTCGTTTCTGTTTGATTCATTCGGGTCTGCTTGTTACGGTGTATAATTACTTTGTTTGCTTCAAACTGATTATGCTGGACAACATTGTTCTGGTCTGTCTATGCTGATGAGACCTCTGAAGGTTGATACCGGCCCTTAAAGTCTGCCTACTTTCAAGAGATGCCAAATGGTAAAAACATTGGTTTGGTGTGGGCCGATGGGACGGGCTTGATGGGCATAAATGTAACTTTATTTGATGTTGTACGTGGCGAGACGGAGCGTAATTGTCTGCTTATTGCTTTTTAACTTCGTAAACTGCTCACATGCGAACGAAGCGCTCCCCCATTCAGATGTTAATTCGCCTCGGAGGCTTGGCTAAGCGCGACAACGGTTGAAGTTGAACATCGTTGACATTGACAAATACGTGTGGCGCTGCGAGTTTTCTGCGATGCATTAACCACGTAATTGTATTAAAAAAACGGATGTGCTGTCATTTGTATATCTCATTGAGTCTCAAGGATATTAATGATGTTTGGCGAATTATATTTAAATACAGTATTTGCATTCTTGGTTCTTTCGGTAAAGTCACGTAGAAGGGAAACAATAAAATAATAAAAATATAAAACAATAAAATGCTCACGACGTTTCGACTGCAACACAAGCAATCATCATCAGGTGTGAAAACCACAGCAAGAAACATTGAAAAAAGTGGCGTTTCTTTAACGTTTTAACGTTTAACGTTTTTAACGTTAGCAGTCGAAACGTCGTGAGAATGTTATTGTTTTATATTTTTATTTTTTATTGTTGCCCTTCTACGTGACTTTACCGAAAGAACCAAGAATATGAATCCCTGCAGTCACGAAAGCTTTAAATCAAAATTTACAGTATTTGTATTTAACAAATGTTGATTTGCTTGTTGTAGGAGCAAACTGCCGATGTGACTGTGTTGGTAAAGGCGCAGCCCCTGCAACTGCTCGCTCACGCCACTGCTGGCGGAAGGGTCTCCGCTAGAGGGAGCTCTGGAGCGCTCCTCTAGAGTGTATTTGGCCTACTCTTCCACGCTGGCTAGAGGTCTTCCACGACGTGGGAGTACCCACAGTTTATCCTACCACACGCAACGGCAGTCGAGCAACGTTAAGTGTTGTACTGTGCTTCTTTGCTCCTACGTCTATGCTCTTCCGCCTTCACCAACCCGCGCTGAGCAGCGTGGTGAAGTATGGTCAAATAGCGCCTCTATATTTGGAGTCTGCGTGCTCTCCCCGTGGTCGCGTGGATTTTTCTCCGGGTCCTCCGGGTTTTCCCTCCACATTTAGAAACACGTGGTGTATAGAGTATATGGCTGCTATACATTTCCACGTGATGATAAACCACTTGGTTGAGCTATCACTTGTGATCGGCTAGGTCGCTTCTGAAAAAGAGCTACACAATTCATTCAGCCTTACCTGGTAAAATAAATAAAAAAGTTTAACTTTCAGTTTGAACTCGTTTTAAGCTGTTATTCGAAAGTTATTGAGTCTCGTTGAGTTTGTATCGATGATATTTGCGAGCGCTATGGTGGTGATGCTACGATCAATCTGTGCAGTGCGTCGCTCACGGGACAGAGGAACGGAGAGTGAGTGCTCCCCGCGCCGAGTTGCTCGCGCTTAAAC